TTTATTGCAATATTATTGGGTATCTTATATCATAACAATTGTTATGTAATAGCTACAACTTTATTGTCCATAACCATGATTTCGTAGTGGTAGGTTCAGCATGTAGTCATAAAAAAATTATAGATAAATAAATAAATATTCCCTTTTGCTACTGATGAAATACTAGTTGTCAATAGAGAAATCTACTTGCTCAATGCAATTCCCACGAACAACGCCATTCTGTTGATGTATCAAAGGTAACAAGATAGAAGGATAATAATTAAGAGTGAGAATAAGAAGAAATTATAACCCATTCATTAAAAGCTGAACCGAGAAAGAGATGAGAGAGAGAGGTAGTGAGAGAATGAGAAGGGATTGAGGTGGACATCGTTCAAGGGCTAGACAGACAGCACTGAACTGGGAGCATGGCGGATCTTGTTGAAGAAGCTACCAAAGGAACAGGGAACCGGGTGATTTGGGGAAAACAAAGGATGATCAATACCAGGGTCGAAAAATGCAGAGAGGTGGGCCTTATAACTGGGGCCTATACAAATAAGCAACAACATTCTTCTTTACCAATGTTCCAAATGATTGGAGCTATGAAGAAATGTGGAGCACGTTTTTGAAATTTGGCCGAGTTTATGACATCTATTCTCCAAGTAGAAGAAGTAGGAATGGGAGTAGATTCGGCTTTGTGAGATTTCTAGGGGTGACAGACAAGAAGGAACTGGAAAGAAAGCTGGATCAGATCCGGGTAGGAGACCAGAAATTGTGGGTGAATATGCCAAGGTATGATGTTGAGAAGAAAGAAGTTGGGGTGAAAAGAAAAAGTTGTGGAATGGTGAATGTAGATCAGAATAGAAGTTATGCTGAGGTGGTGAAAGGAACACAAGAGAAGGTAATAACAGGGGATTAGAGCATACAGAGCATGGTGGTTCGAGATAGAAGTAGAAGAAATGACAAAGAAATTAAGAAGCATGTAGGGCAAGACAAGCAAGGGAGACACAGAGATAGAAGTAGACACGAGCACCGGCAAACTGCAAATAGGAAAGTGTGGAAAGAAAGAGCAAGGGGAGTGAAATGGGCAGGTATGGAGTTCAATGTAAAACCTGAAGAGTATGCTTGGCTCGAAGGTAAATGTTGGAATAGTGCATTTCGTGGAGATGGTATGCAATTTACGAGAAAAATTTTTTATGGAGGGGTATTTTTCTTGTCAAATCTGAGCAATGGGAGGCAAAATGGTACTGTTAACAGGTCAAGACAAGGAGGAAGTGAAAGACTTCGTTGAAATGGCATCAGATTGGCTAAGGCAATGGTTTGAAGAGGTGAGGCCGTGGACACCACAGATGATAGCAAAAGAGAGATTTGTGTGGATAAGGTGTCAAGGGGCACCAGTGAGTCTGGGGAAGTGATTTCTTTTCAACCATGGGCCATTCATGGGGAATTTTATTTGCTTGGATGACAGTACAAGCAAGAAGGAAAGGTTTGACGTCGCTAGATTTTTTATTTCTACTCCAATAATGGAGACAATTACAGTTACAAGGAAAATAAAAATCAACGGAAGCATATACAAGCTGAAATTTACAGAAGAGGAATTCACCAATTGCTTTTTCTCTTTGAAGCATGACTTTATACCTTCTTTTAATAGTGAGTCCGAAGATCGAGAATCATGGTCTACCGGAACAGAGTCGGAGATGCATGAGGAGGAAGATGAAAGGAGGAACGAGGAGGTTCAATTCAGGTGTTCAGTTGAAGAAGATGATGACGTAAGAAGACGTAGGAAAGAGGAAGAAAGAAGAAAGTTAGTACAAATCAGCAAGGAAGAAGGGGATGTAGTAGAAACCGTTGGTGACAACCTGGATGAAACTCAAAATTCAAATGCAAATGAAAGAAGCAGGAGGACAGATGGCGTGGCTACAGGACAGATGGTGCAGGCCTCATCTTCGGAAATTGGAGAAAAAGAAGTAGAAGAAATTAATCACAAATTGAAGCCCAAAAATTAGCCAATGGTAAGGCCTACCTCGCAGAAGGAAAGCCCAATGGCAATGGAGTCCACAAATGTGGAAGTGGCCCAAATAGAAACAATAAAGGAGACTCCAATTACATCCCAAAACAAGGACATTTCTAGAATCGGAGAACCTATAGAAGAAAAGGGCGATGAAGAAGCAGACGCATTCTGGAAGGGTCATGAATTAGAGAGAAGCCGTATAGAAGTTTGGATCGGCAAACAGTTGGAGGAGATCAACTCAAAAAATGGTAGAAAGAAGGTCAGACGGTGTATTGTCAACCCAGGATCAGTGAGGTAATGGCATAACGAAAGAGAGGAAGAAAGAAGAACTCGCAGCAAATGGAGGAGAGACCAACTCCAATCTTCATGCCAAACCAAGATGGAAAGGTTGTTGGAGACTCGGTAGGGGATAGTGATATTCATAATGTTAACAGGGCATTGAAGAAACAGTGGCAAACCCAACTCGCAAAGGAGATATAGGACCTGGCGACACAGCTTGGAGCGGTGGCGGAGAATGACAATGAAGTGATCCAACGAATAGAGGAGATGGAGGTTAGAGATCGAAGCGCAAAAATGACTATGGTGAACCAAGAGGATGAAGGCTATAGGAAGGTATGTGAAGCACCCAATGATAATTTTGTCATTTAATGTTAGGGGTCTTGGAGGGGTAGGGAAGAAAGCACAGATTAGGGAGTTAGTTATCAAAGAAAAAATTCAATTTTTAGCAGTACAAGAGACCAAGATGGATATAGTTGATAGAAAGATCTGTAGAAATTTATGGGGGTCTGAGGATATGGATTGGGTTGCAAAGTCTTCTAATGGCATGTATGGAGGTCTGATATGTGTTTGGGATTCTAAAATATTGAAGAAGAAAGAGACTATAGAGGGGGATAATTTTATAGGGGTATTTGGACTATGGGGATTGGAGGAGATACCGGTATACATTTTAAACATTTATTCCCCATGTCAACTCACAAGCAAAAGAGCCTTATGGGAGGAGCTGCAAGGTCTAATTAATAACAGAAAGGGGTTGTGGTGCTTAGCAGGGGATTTTAATGCTTTAAGGAGGGTTGAGGAAAGAGCAGGATGTAAGGTGGTGTCAAATGAAATGAGGGAGTTTGATGCTTTCATCCACAACACTGATTTGTTTGACTTACCGTTGATAGGGAGAAAATACACTTGGTATAATTCAAATGGGCAACAAATGAGCAGAATTGATAGATTTCTGTTTTCTAAAGAGTGGATGTCAAAGTGGAGTGAAATGAAACAGTGGGGGTTGAAGAGGTCTGTATCGGATCACTGCCCTATAGTGATAAAAAATGAGCAGGTCGACTGTGGTCCAAAACAGTTCAGATTTTTTGATGCTTGGTTAGATCAACCTGGATGTAAGGACGTGATTGCAAGTGTATGGTGTGACAACGAAGTGAAGGAATGGAATGGATTTAAACTTAAAGAAAAGTTGAAAAGAACAAAGAAGGCACTAAAGGAGTGGAGTGGCAAAACCAACAGGGAGATGGACGGAAGAATAAAGGAAGCAGAACTACTAATCGCTTCAATTGATGAGAAAGGAGAGCAGCACCAGTTGTCAGATAATGATATTGAATTGAGAAGGAACAGTTTTATTGAATTGTGGAAGAATTTAAAAATCAAGAAGAGGATGAGTCAACAAAAATCAAGAAAGCAGTGGCTAAAGGAAGGTGACGCGAATACAAAATTCTTCCATAGAAGCATCAAGGGAAGATGGAGCCGAAATGAAATCAATAATATCCTGATAAATGGGGAGCAACATATAGGAGTGGAGGTAATAAAGCGAGAGATTGCTAAGTACTTCCAAGAATTGTTTACAGAAGAAAATTGGAGGAGACCAAAGCTTGATGGAATATGGTTTAGGCAAATCACACAAACTGATAATGAGCTCCTCACTACTACTTTTTCAGAACAGGAAATTAAAGAAGCAATATGGAATTGTGATCCATCCAAATCCCCAGGACCAGATGGATTCAACTTCAGATTCATCATGACAATGTGGGAGGTTATAAAAGCTGATATAATCAACTTTGTACAGGAGTTCCAACAACATGGCAGGCTAGTTAAGGGGTCAAATACCTCTTTCATTGTGTTAATTCCAAAGACAGAAAATCCACAAGCAATTGAGGAATTCAGACCCATTTCGCTCATAGGAGTCACTTATAAGATCATTGCAAAGTTACTAACGAACCGATTACGGAAGGTGTTACCTAAGGTGATTGGGGAGCAGCAGATGGCTTTTATTGAAGGAAGGCAATTAGTGGAGGGGGTAGTGATTGCAAATAAGATTCTCGATGAAGTCAAGAGGAAAAAGAAGAAGGGATTCCTATTTAAAGCCGACTTCGAGAAAGCCTACGACAAAGTAAGCTGGGAATTCATTGACTACATAATGATGATGATGGGATTCTATGCAACTTGGAGGAAATGGATTCAGGAGTGCTTGAATTCGAGCTCGGTCTCTATTCTAATCAATGGCAGTCCGACAAATCAATTCTCGGTTAATAAAGCCATCCGTCAAGGAGATCCTTTATCTCATTTTCTATTCTTGATTGTGGCAAAGGGGCTGAATGGACTAGTGTCATCAGCAGTGGAGAAGGAGAGGTACAAAGGAGTGGGCATTGGGAGTGGAGATGCGATGGTCACACGCCTTCAATTCGCGGATGACACAATCTTCTTTGGGGATGCAACAGAAGACAATATTAGGGTGATTAAATGCATTATGAGTACATTTGAGCTAGTCTCAGGGTTGAAGATTAATTTTAGAAAGAGCCAGTTGATTGGTGTGGGAGTTGACCAAAATTAGAGTGCTAAAATGGCATACCAATTGTGCTGCAAGGAAGGGAAATTGCCATTCAGGTATTTGGGAATTCCAATTGGCGGGAATCATAGAAGAAAAGCCATGTGGCAGCTTATGGTGGAGTCTGTTAGAAAGAAGCTAGCCAGCTGGAAGGGGAGGTATCTATCGATGGGAGGCTGCATTACGCTCATCAATTCAGTGCTGTCAAGCCTATCAGTGTTCTTGATGTCTGTCTATGTTATCCCAAAAGGTATAATTCATTCCATTGATAAACTTCATAAAAGCTTTTTATGGGGAGGGAAGGGAGATGAGAGAAAAATAAATTGGATTAGCTGGGACAGAGTGTGTAAAAAGAAAGAGGAAAGAGGGTTAGGAGTGAGGGACTTGAGGATATTCAACTTGGCATTGATGGGAAAATGGTGGGGATGGCTTGTTGAAAGTGGGGAGGGTATGTGGAAAAAAATAATTGTAGAGAAGTATGGAAAGAGAGGGGGTCATTGGCAGGATTGGATTGTTGAAAATAGAGGAGTAGGATCAGCTTGGTGGAGGGATGTGTGTGATATTAACATAATGAATGGGGACAGCAATGGTTGGCTAAAAGAGGGCTTCAGGGTTAACATTGGGGAGGGTAATACAATTAGTTTCTGGTGGGATAAATGGAGGGGAAAGGAGTGTCTTGCTAATATGTTCCCAAGACTGTATCTGTTATCTACAGAGAAGATGAAGATGTGCAGTGAAATGGGAAGGAGAATCAATGGTTCATGGGAGTGGAATTTATCATGGAGGAGGAACTTGTTCGATTGGGAAAAGGAAGAGGCAATGGAATTACACAACAAGATTCAAAACGTGTAGATTTCACAAGGATGCATGGATACCTGGGAATGGGTCCACAGCAAGGATGGCAAATACTCAACAAATTCAGCATACGCAATATTAACCAAAGAAGAGAGGGAAGCAAC